TTGTACAAGCATTAGAGAGAAGAAGGTAAATAACTTCCTCTCCTTCACTTTCATTATATAGAGAAAATCAACAAGACACGTATGGAAATAAAGTACAAATATGGAAACACAATAAACCCAATTGCATCTAGCTTAATCTCCATTATTCTACTTTATTTATTTCCTTAACGGTTTGTGACTATAGTATAAGTTGAGCGATTTTTGAAACAACTCAATCAAGAGCTAAATCAAATAGGTCTTTAACAATAATTGAACTTGCTTTGTTACGAGAGGCGTAAGATTCAATATCTTTCGTCCAATCGATATACTAATCAAATCGGTCAAATAGAGTCAATTATATAATTGATTTCAAGTTTATTAATAATTAACTTGATTTTTTGTTGTTGGTTTTTTTTTTTTTTTTTTTTTAAAAGTGTCTTAGTAATAAGATTTTAGTTCAGAATAAATAAAAATGTATTTTTCGAAATAAATTTTATTATTACTACAACATGTACAAATAATAATACAATTTCATTTGACAACAACAAAAGAGAATCATGTGCAACATAAATTTATATTATTAGTACGACATTAAAAATAATAATACAATTTCATTTGACAACCACGAAAGAGAATATTTTGCTCACGTATTCTTACTTATCCTCTGTTCGATGGAGATTAAAATCAAAATTTTAGTAAATTTTGATAAAAGTTGATGAAATATGTGACTGAAAATTATGAATTTCATAAAATGTGATTAAAATTAATTATTGACTTTGAATCAATTATGACTATGATTGGATTATTTACTATGTTTGTTGTGAAACAAACGAAATGAGAGATTCAAGTAGAGATAAACAATGGGAAATTTGATTTCTTCATTTTTTGAAGAAGTGAAATTAGAATTTATATGTTTGTGTTTTTAATTGAAAATATTTGTGTGGCTATATCCTACGATTCAGCACTAGGATTGTGTCTATTTCCTTGAAACATTGCACTTTTAAATGCCTATGTTTGGTCTCATTTTTACAAAAACTCATTTTCAATTACAGATTTTTCAATAAAATAATTTTACACATAAATCGAAAAAAATTTCATATTTTTTAACTATAACTTCTGCAAAAATTATTATTCTAAAATACACTATCTTAGCAAAATGGGGCTCAAACAGTCATAGATATAAGTTGATGCAAAATTTAAGTTGACCCTTCAAGTTTGCTTCCGATGAATTAAGTCATTGAAGTTCAAATATAGCATATAGGTAACCTATTTTGATCCGGTGGTGAACTTTAATTACTATATTTATTGAATAAGAGATCTAAGAACGAACTTGAAATTTAGCCCCTCTTTTGGTGGATATTTTTTATAATAGAATTTATGGAAAATAATTTTTTTTTAAAGACTGTTTGATTAAAACTTAAGGAACATTTATGAATCCATAAAATTATTTTATTGAGAAAATATTTAGCTGAAAATAAATTCGAGCAAAAATGAATTTTAAGGATCAAAGAGGAACTAAGTTTCTACTCTAATGATCATTTGTGAAATTAACCCTTGCACGCTTATTGGTCTTAATGGGTCGAGCAGATTGTTGTGGGTAATCCGGCTCGACCCTTGCAAAAATGAATTTTAAGGTTCAAACAAAAATTTAGTTTCAACCCTAATGATCATTTGTGAAATTAACTTTCGCACGTTTACCAATGGCAATGGGCCGAGCCAATCGCCCATGAGCTCATCGATTTAAAATAATAATAATAATAATAATAATAAAACCATTCTCCTTAACCAGGGCTTAGGATTGACTACTTAAATTTTGAGTAAACGAAGTTTAAAAAAAAAATTGTACTTGAATAACTTATTATATGTACAATTTTATAAAAAGATCAAAAATAATATTATTAAATAACGAATTTTATTAATATGATTAAATTAAATATCACTTGCTTGACGACACACAATGTTGACATACTTATTTTGCAATTGAAAATAAGCATCTTACCAATTGTTGATGTACATTAATATTTCCAAAATATTTGTTTCAGTCGGCTCTTGACCTCGAATAGAATCATTATCTTCATTAAAAGCAGACTCCAAAATTACAGTGTTAATCGAAGGTGTTAGCCAATATTGTGGAATCACAGACATCATTGGCCATCATCATTCGTACTTTCTTTAACCAATTATTTCTTTTGAGCTCTTTCTTATTAATGCATTACTAGGCATATGATGATTAAAGTAATCAACTAACTCAACCGGCAATAGATTTGAACTTGCATCCGATGTTTGATTACATGCAGAGATATACTAGAAGAACCTACTACTTATATCTATACATGTTAATGCCTCTTCTTCAAGATTAACGACAGAAGTAGATGCAGAAGGTGCCCAACTAATATTTGCACTTAGTTATTGTGCATATAATTCGTACATTTCCTCTAAATTTTACTAAAATTCAAATCATTTTTTCACTTATCAAAAGCCCTTGCAATGATATAAAAACGTTCAAACATCATAAAACTAGTAGGATAGTACACTTCGAATAAAATATTTGTAGAGTTATAAAAATTTGTCAAAATTTTTAAATTTTAAAAGCTATTTTCAATTAAATTCATTCAAAATAATGTCATCCTCGTTTTTTATATGCCCATTATTATAAAACTTAGTTATTAAATGTTCATATATTTCGTTTGATTTCAATAATAAGTAAATTAAGTTCCATCTATGTCCTACATCACTAACAAATATTTTTGTATCCATCGCTCCAAATTTAGTACAAATTCCTTGAATGCTTGTTTTCTAATAGGTGAAATCGTAATATATTCTAATTTATCCCTAGTTCTTTAAATTTCATTCTTAATATATTTCAAACCATTTTGTACAATTAAATTAAAAATATGACACACACAACAAACATTAAATAAATAACCACCAAAATCAAGCTATAGTACCCTACACAACTTATCAACAACTGACTTATTAACACATCGTTATCAAATTTAAAAGATTGAATTTTGCTGTCGCAATGAGATTCTCTAATAATACTCATAATAGTATTAAATATATTGTTGGCGTTCTCTGAAAAAACAATTATTTTAAAAGCAATAATTTTTTTTATGTTTACAACAAAGTGGATCTATGTAGTGCACAATTGCAACGATATAACAACTTTTATTAATCTCTTCCAATAAAATCGAAGTTAAAGATATAAAACCACAATATTTTTGCAAATCAATAATTAATTATTTCTTTGTATTAAAAAAATATTATATTATTTCTACTTAACCCAACATACCTTAGCTGAAAATATTCTTTTACATAGGAAACGTAATATTGGTTGTTAGCTATTACTAGAAACAACTCAGCACCGATAACGAATTTCCTCGTTCCTATTCGAGCCTTTTCCTTTGAATAGATCCACCTGCTAAGTATTGTAGAAAAGCGATCCCAACATTTTGTCCCTTTTCCCCCTTTTGCTTCACTCTTGCATCGGAAATATTTAGTTCCGCCTATTCCATTTAGAAAACATCAATGTCAACCAAATCAATTGAACTACAACTTCCGTGAGCATCCAAATCCAAAATATTTTCGAGAATGGGTACCTCATTGATACCAACAAATTCATTGTAAAATTGATTTTGCAGCGTTATAGGAGTTCACCTCCAACACCGAACAAGCCCTCAACGAGAGATTGTGAATCCACTTTTCATGAATTGATAATATAAAAATATAAATGAAGATGAAATAACAAATGAATATGGAACAGTTTGATAAACGTAGGAATGTAAATTGTAATGATAGCATATAAAATATTATATAGTGAATATTCATTGTAATTTGTATATAAAGTAAATAAGAGTATGGACGAGAGTAATATTCTAAATTTATCAGAATATTGAAGGTAGAATACAGTAGATTGTTGAATGTGGAAGAGAATAAGAGTAGTTATGTGAAAGTTGCAAAATGATTTAGAATATTTATGAAGTTAAAAAGGGGACCAAACCACTATTTCCAATAGTTCAGTGACCAGCCTGCTCACGTGGGCTTGCCCACGAGGCGAGCCAAGCCGAGCCAATTCAGCTCATTGGCACGCTCTGCTTGAGTAGCCCACTAGTCGAGCGATCGAGCTGCTCCCTTTGATGGGGAATAAAATAAAATTTTTAATAAATTTTGATACTAAAATTTGAAATATGTGGTTGAGAGGTCGTGGGACCAATGAAATATATGGATAATTGATTATTTGACTTCTACTTAAATTAAAATCTTATTTAAACCAAACATGAGCTTGTGTACAGCACAAATGATCCCATATGAAATGTCTAGAATAGATACAGATGTTCCATAGACATGAAGATAAGTGAGCTCTAATACATAAATAATCGAAAATGAAACTTTCCAAAACTAAACAGCACATCCTAAAGCTTTATTGGCAATTGTACAAGTGCTCGTTTGACAAAATTTAAATTATAAATTAAATTGGTCAAACAAACATTTTATTTAACACATTCTGTGGACCCCAATGAAACCACAAATTTAAGCACTCCCAAACTAGCCTTAAAATGTTTGCCAGGTACTTCTAATCTTAGTAGCATCCCAGGAAACAAAAAAGAAAACTTAATGTAGAGAAAACTTAGTGTAGACGTGATAGGGAAGAAACTTTTAGAAGATAGAAAGCAGAACTTACACAAATTTCCCCCCTTCCCGAAACAGATTTCCAATTCTCTATGAACATGTTTCGTACGCAATTGTGCATAACACATCAAGGTACACGACTACATAGAATTTCAAATGGCAAAACTGAAAGCAAATAGTTAAAACTGGTGTTTCCACGCATCTTCCAGTAGTACTACTAATGAAGATAATGAGATTCATGTAGCCAATCCCAAATTTATGGAGAAAAGACTTCAGAGCATATTTAATTATGCTTAAAAGCGAATCAATTTTACTTTGCACACACTTATTGCAAAACATACTATAGGCTATATTAGTCAAGCACCAAGAGGAATTTAAACCAAACCAAAAAACAGGGAATAATACAGATAAAATCACATTATTATGTATATAGTCGAAAAAGCTTACAACTACATTCTAACAGATCTCTATAGTAACATCCGTAGTCGATTCAAGAATTCAGAAAGCAAAGCACTAAGACAACACAGCATTTTGTAAGCCAACTAATCAAGAAATGCTGCCGGTATTAATAGTAGATTTATACCTTTTTCAAGAAGAGAAATATTAACTTCCTGCTCTGCAAGTAGGTTCAGGGCCATAATCCATACCATTTGAACACGATTTTTCATACATCACCAGAAGCACAACATTTGCGTAAATGTAATGCTGCCAAGGTACCTCAATTATCTGGTTACATTAGTGCATCTCACAAATCCATCTACTCCACGAGTGTCTTCTGAAAGTAGGCAGGCAAATCATTAGATTATCTGGAAGAGAGAACAAAAAAGAGAGAATGAGGGAACAATCAATTCGGCAGTTCAATCTCAATCTAATCCTAGCTTCCCTTTTACAGAGCAAAACATTTAAACTCGAGGACTTCAGATAACCAAAACCTTGTCAAAATATGATATATAATCTAGTCCAAATTCAATCCAAATCAAACTCTATTTCTCCTAAAATACACTTCTAACTTTGCATCACCCAGGCTTAAAAACTATAGCTACTGTAAGGAATAAAATGATATAACAGCCAGGAGATGTTCCATACAGATACGCAAGCAAACAGAAAACAGATTCATACATGTATACCAATAACTGGATATGGGTTGTGTTGTGCCACCTTTGTGCATTCTTGTGCTTGGGTGTGTAAGTGTTGACAAGCATGATAGAGAGAGAGGCTACTTGAAAATTTTTAAAAATCACCTCTAGTCTTGCTACTGAATTATTTTTGTAACCCTAGTTTTTGAGTTCAAAAATGAAGACAGCTTCCTATGCAGGAACCCAGCACGAGCTACCACAAATAATCCTGCCCTTCCATCCCTGCAACATCCAATTGCTATCTTCATCAAACAGGAAATCTTTATGATAACCTGCCATCACTTTATTCCTTAATTTCTTCATAATCTCGCGATTCAAAGGAAGGGGTTTGAATCCGGCTCTCATAGTGCGGACTTGCCACTGCTTGTGTGTCTCGGGTCTCTCGACCCTTCCTGCCCCCTCGCATGCAATAACATTTATTATCTCGCGCCCATAAAAGTCTTGTTCAAAATTCATCCTTTGTGGATTGTCCCGAGGTAGGGTAGCATCCAACATATCAAACAATGCCGAGTAGTGAAAGAGGGCCTCCTTGAAACGCGTAATGAAGAATGGAGCACTATATGATCCACTGGTAACAGCATGCAGAAATATAGTTGGATTCATTTTCCTAATTAAGTTCAGAACTACATCCCTGGGACAGTCAGCTTCAACAGTCTCATCAAGCAATCTACCAAATCGAAAGAGACAGTTCACAGCAAGCACCTCACCATGTGTAATCTTCAGGTCCTCAATTTTAATAGTCTCCCAATTCTGTGTGGCTATGGCTTGATACTCAAATGGTACACCAAACCGTTCACAGTACTTCGCCAAGCGGCGCCCAGTCTCTTCTACTCTTTCAGCTGGGCGAAAACCAGGTTGTGGAAACTCGATCCCGGTGATCCGCAGCTTGGGTGGCCCACCAGATCTCCTTGAAAGCAGCTGAATGAGAATAGGCCACTGGAAACCATAAAGAATACCAAAATCTACAATATGCAGAGTTGTTGCTTCTGATGCTGCTTCCCCAATCATCTTATTTGCAAATAAAATTGATATCTTCTTGAATGGGCAGGCTAAAAGATAAACCTGGTAAGCTTTTAATTTCTCAACAGCTGTAATCTTCTTGGATGCAAGGGATGCATAAATCTGGGTCCCAGTGCCTGAAAAGCGTGCCTCAAGACCATAAGCAAATACATATGCCAACCTCTGATATGCATCACCAGTAGGAGAAGCATGCTGCCTAATCTGCTTCAATTGTTCATATGCCGTTCTACGATCATCAGCAGCAATAGACTGTGCACAGCTGATCAAAAGAGTCCTCAGGTCCACAGCTTCACTATTGCTCTCTTGCTTCCTAGCACGAGTTCTTCCGCCATTCGACCCATTTGAGAGTACAGGTCGCAACAAGTTCTTTTCCTCTCCGCTAGGCAATTTAGCATCAACATTACATTGCATGGGTTCGCAAAGGAGAAATTTGTCAAACATTTCAGATAATTCCAAATCCTCTGCATAAACTGCAGATTGCTTGCTGCTCCTCTCCACATTTTCCAAATCACCATCCTCTGGGTGGTGATGCTTCCTTCCCCTTGAGCCATTAGTTAAGTTACCTATCTCATCCTTTTCTACCTTGACCGCGACCCTTTGAGACATTTCATCTGATTTTGGAGGTAAAGTGTATTTATCCAAGTCCATAATCAATTGATTACTTGGGGGAAGGAATTTACTAGCTTCTTCCATTCCTCTCTTGAACTGCAAGATAGACTCGCTATCGCTGAATATATTTGGAATTACGCTGGTATTTTCAAAAGAGCTTACCTGGATGTTGATTTCATCGTTGAAGCTGTTAACGGAACCAAATGACCATTGCGAACTAGTTTTCATTGATTTGGAAGCAGTATCCAGCAACTGACTCTGTTCCACTGATGAATTAAACTCACCTGGATCAACAACCCACTGTGGATCAATGAAATTAGCACCATTAGTACTGCTATTTGTGTACTCGCCGGAACTCCCCAAAAAGGTACCTCGGCTTCCCGAACTGTGGTTAAAGTAATCAGATTGTTGAAGCGGTGAAGGTGGGTACTTCTGGCCAAGGACATCATATAAGGATTTCTCGGCAGCTTGTAAAGCAAGTGGATCATGGAACATGCTCGGCTTATCATCCATGTTCTCCTCAATAAGTATCTGATTTAGATATTTTAGCACTGGATCAGAATCTTGATCGTCGGGAGATTCCACCTCAGTGCTTCCGCTCAAAGATGGAGTGAAATTTTCACGGCTCGGGCTAAATGAAAGGAAAGGGATATCTGCAATATTAAGGTCTAAAGAAACATCATCTTTATATCCAGTAACCTGGTCATGAGATTGCCCAAAAATGGGTAAGACAGTCTCATCATCAAATCTGAATCCATTCATAGTATTGTGCATTTCACTGAATCGGGGATCCATAACTATCACCACCTCAAAACCCTGCATCAAATGAAATATGAATAAGTCGAACTGAAAATTCTTAATTCAACAAATGAGTCACGATAAAATTATATCTAGACTTGAAACCTGATAAACTACCATAAGTAATGATAAAAATTAAAAAGCATGCTCGCTGTTAGAATTTAAAATAACCAACTTTCGAAAATCCTACATGGAACAAACTGAACTTCAGATGCCCAAAAGGAATGTGGTATATCTTCCACTCCTCAAATAAAATAGAAATATGAAAATAAAATATACATAGGGCATGGCAGATAATTGGAATAGCCAGTTGGGGCAGTCACAACCGCACATCTCCCAAAGATTTTAGAAAATTATTTTCACTCCTGCAATGATCAGTTTATGCAACAAAATCATTTTAATGTCCCCTCTCCTCCCTCCTCTTCCCCTTAAAAAAAAATATGTATATATATTACTCCGATTTCTAGTTCCGAGTTTCAGACATAAACGGACAGAAAAATAAGTCCAAAACTTCACTGCTGAACTTATTCCAATTCCAAGAGCTCGGACCGAATCAGTATTATTGATATACGGATTCGATCCGAGTTCTCTTATTGAATTGCTCATTCAATGAGCATTAACAAAATCATTAATTTAATTAAAAAAAAGCTGAAGATCAAATCAAGTTACCAAAAAAGAAAAAAACTTCAAATCACACAACATAGTAAAAAAATCAGCAGGGAAAAATATAGCTCTAAAAATTACCTAGAAACAACAGTTTATTTCTTATTTAATATAAACATCAATAAAATTAAAACCATCAAGAACGCAAACAAACAAAACCAAGGAAGAAAAAACAAGCAGAAGAAGAACCCACAAAGCGCTCAAGGACAAAGATCCGAAAATTTCCTGGAAAATAAGTAAAAAATATAAATAACCCACTGATTTTTCTTGAACAAGAGGGGGGAAGAAACCTGTTTAAGTCCGACATCAAACCTCAAAGGGGAAAAAAATAAAATAAAATAACAGATCCAAAAAAATTGTTTTTATTCTGCCATCTAAACAAGTACGAAATCAAACTCCCAAGAAAAAAATTTATTTTTATTCTGCCTTGTTTATATGTGTACCTGAATTGAATAACGAAAAAAGGAGTGAACGGTGGAAGATTCTACAAAATAGATAACTCTAAATATAAATAAAAACCCTAGTAGCTCTCTCCCCAAGGTGATGACATTTCGTCCAAAGTAAGAAGATTCGACGAAGCAGCCAAATAATATACTGTTAAGTAAAGAAAAAGAATTCAAATAATTATCTTGTGCGATAATTGCAACAGCAGTCCCAAACCATTTGCTTTTTCACAAATTTTACGTTAACCTTCACTTTGTGCCAATCAAATTCCAAATCCTTTAAAAATTAGCATCTGCAGTTCAAATGGAAGATTTTCATTAGTTTGACCATTAGTTGACCAAATAAATTTGACTTTAACCAATTTCAAAATAAGTAAAATGGTTACTTTTCATTAAAAATACATAAAACAAGGTAAAAAAAATTAAATTAAAGAAAAACTAAAAAAATAAAAACACATATGAACCCATCATCTCACCCACCCCCACCCCACCCCAATCAGGCTATGTTTGGTAATGATTTTGAGAATTGTTATTTTTAACCGTTAGGAGAAAAGTTTGGGCCACCTGTGATAGAAGAAGTCAAACATAATGACTTCAATAATAAAATAACGGTCAAAAAATCAATTTTTTGAATTGAAAAATCACTACCAAACGGGCTCCTAATCAAAACTAGAAAATTGTCCCCTCACCCATCCAGCCATCCCCCACTCACATCACAACCACAACTCCCCTTGCCCAAACCAATCGATCATCCTAAACCCATGGAAGGGACTTCAACGGACCAGCAAGCACGTCTCTATAACTCCTTCACATTCATTTCTTCTACCACACCCTTGAATCCTGATTGATCCACCATAAACTCAAAGAACAGAGAAAAATGGAAGACGCCGAGCAGCGACAGTAGCAATTTCTTCTCTTGTAGTAGCTTCAACAATAGAAATAATAGCAACTAGCAAGATAATTGGTCAAAGTCAAATTAATTGGGTGGTAAAAATAATCCATTTGAACTCTAGATGCTAATTTTTAAAAGGTTTGGGACCGTGGATAGTATAAAGTGAATGTTAAGATAAAGTAAATGAAAAATGAAAAGGTTTGAGACCACTAATGCAATTATCCCTTATATTATTATTCTTTACCCATAAGAGTAGGGTTGTCACCTTTTCTACATCTATCTTAGTGGAGTGGTGCTATCTTAGTGGTGCGTTTGCTGTTTGATGAAAGACAATTTACTTATACTTTTGACTTTTTGACTGGTGCCATTTCAATTATTAAAAATAAATAAAAAAAAATTTAAGTCAAAATTAACATTTAGCCCTTGTTTGAGCTTTATTTTTTTTTTCAAAAAAAAAAAAACATTTTACAATAGTATTATGATGGAGAATGTATAATTAAAAAAATAAGAATTTTTTTATTTGCATGTAATATTATTTTTATTAAAAAACGGGTAGTTAATATAAGATTAAATCACCATTGAAGAATGCATTTTGATAAAAAAAAATTAGGTTTAAATGAGAACTTATTTTTAAAACATATTTTGTAGGATCCACAAATTTTCAAAAACATTCATCAACTTTTAAAAAAATTTAGTAAAAAAAAAAAAAAAAAAAATTACTCCCTCCATCCCATTTATATTTGCTGATTTTATTTTTCACACAGATTAAGAAATTTTATTTGATGTTATTGAAAAACCAATTTTTGTAAAGAACTTTTTTAATTTACCCTTATTTAGATCCCGTTTGTCCATTTTATTCAAAATATATTTTTCTCTCTCTTCTTTTCAACCATACATTCTTTATTAAAATAATATTACACGTAAATCAAAAACTTTTCTTCATCTTTTAACCTCACATTTCCCATTATTTTACCATTCTAAAATGCATTTTCACATGAAAATGAGTCACAAACACCCTCTTAATTGTCAACAACTTTACTCCCTTAGAAAACTAGTATTTGGATGATTCCAATTAGTAGGTAAATTAAAATCTGTACAATTTCAAAATTAGGTAGAAAAAAATAATTATAATTAGATAAATTAAATAAAAAGTATATTAGTAAACAAACGATATAAACACATATCAATAAATAAACAGGACTATGATTTGAAACAAAAAAGGAAAGTTAGTCCATATAAAATAGGATGGAGGGAGAAATTTTTATCTAAACCAAACAAAGGCTCATATTTGGTTTAGTATAGTAGAAGAAAAGAAAAGGGCAACATTATTTCATCTATATTCCAAAAGAATTTTTTATTTTAATTCATCTTTGTATCATAAAAGAATTTGACAGAGGTGATAATATATCACGTCGTCACTCCTACAGAAGCCCATGTATTCTACATGCTCTTGAATAGTTAATATTTTTAAATAGTAATTTGTAATTTCTCTTAAAATAACACAATTTTATTTGTATTTTAAAAAGTATTACTTACTACTGGAGAGCACACCTTACAATTTCAATATTTCAAAAAAAATAAAATAATAATAGATCTATTGCTTTTGAAAAAGCTGAAAAATAATAATAAAATATAGGTCCCGTTTAGTATACATTAATGTAAAAATGAGAATGAAAAATATAGTCGTTACGAGCCCAAAATAAGAGATAGAAAGTAAAATATAGTGGCTTGATGTGATGGATAACGGTCATATTATTCATTTTAATAGGCAAATAATGGAAAACAAATGAGGGCATAATATCATTTAAAAAAAGATAATAATTGTATTTATCGTGTTTTTAAAATAGCACATGTTTCAAAAAATATGAAATTTATAAACTTGAATTTAACCTTAACGGAAAACATACAACTCATGTCAATGTGGACAATTGATCTTATATTATTAAATCATAGTTGGTCATATAGGAAGTTAATTATTTCTTTTGTGTGATTGTGTAGTTATGGTGAACAGTAATATTTGAATTAATTGCACTAGAGTTATTTGGCAAAAAATATTAATCATGGAATCTCAATATCAAGATTTATCTGATCTCAAAATGTTTGGATGTGATAACAAAAGAAGGAAACAAGTCCTTTTTCATCATCTTCACGATAGATTAAAAATTGAATACCTCATCATAAAGAATCCACATGTTCTTAGGAAAAACTTGATTGAAAGAATTGATCATCAGATGAGTGCAGTCCTCCCCAAAACCCGCAATGAATAAACACACCTTCATTTGCAAGATTTGAAAACTATTAACGAGTACAACTCTGAACTATTGTATATTAACTGTGTGTGAAGAAAAAATCATTGCAGAGTATATGTCGTAAAAAACATTCCCCATCTTTCATGATTCAAATATGCTCCTATAGCAGTAATATTCTATGCGTGATATTAAAAAATACTGAAAATTCATTTCTTGCCAACTTGTAGTTGAACAAAACGATAAATTGTTGATAAAAAATTATGGGTTACGTCTAATTCTGTAACTTTTCGAAGAAAATGTAATATCAATAAACAAACACAAATGTGGACTCGGAAACAAAAGAGAATATGGACGAAACAATCAACTAAACTACCAACAACAAGGCAACAATTTTAAAAAGATCGAAGCAAATGAAAACAAGTCATCCAAAAAGGAGAAGGAAGAAAGTTATTTCAAATATGGAATGAAATGACATAGGACATGTACCCATCCTACGATAAAACATCTTGTTGATTTGTACCAAAAATCAATTAAAAAAAAAGAGAGGAAAAAATGGAGACAAACTTTACTCATTTTGAGAGTCCAGTTGATGTGACTCTCTTGGATATTTCAATTTTTTGTTATCCAAATGATAATATTGATCATTTGATCAGAGGCGATGTGCTCGATAATATCGATTAACTTTTTTAAGAACTTGTTTGAGCCCCATTAAATTGGAAAAATGGATTTTGAAATTGTTGATTGAGGGAGAATGTATGGTTATTAAAAATAAAGAAAAGTTTTAAATTTGCTTATACTATTATTTTATTAAGAATTCTGAGGTTGCAAAGAAGAGGGAGAAAAATATATTTTTGTAGCTTGAACTTAGAATCAAATCATTTTTATTTAATATTTTGTAGCTTGAGCTGACATTTCATTTTTGGGTTTGTGTGTGTGCTGTCCTGCGAGAGTTTCATTTTTATTTCTTTTGTTTTTTTTTTTTTTTGTCTTAACTATGCGATTTGGGTTAGGCAAGTTAAATTGATTTTCTTGGGTTAACCCATGACCCGACCCAACTTGACCTAACCAATTAACGCAAAACCCAAACCTACAAAAAAATCAACAAAAGTCGACCCAAATCGGTTGGGTTAGTCCGTATTGGTCGATTTCAACGAGTTAGTAATGATTTGGGTCTCATGCCTAAGTCATTATATCATTCAAACCATGGGGATACGATAAAAGTCGTGAAAAGTAAGAGGACAATTTTCATCTCAAAGTGCACAATACGTAAGCGAACGACTGGGCATAAGGTTCTGGTTGCATTTTTTGTAGCAATGCAAGCCTTGTGTCCAAGATGTTATATCATATATATTGTCCGCTCTAGAAAGGCATCTGCCTTTTTACCCTTTCACAGATTTTCTGTCTTGGGTTTGAATTCTAGGGGACTCTATATAAATTCATAATGAGACAAGAGGACACATGCCCTTTCAGAACGGTCTTAGTACCAATTGGTAGCAGAATTCAACATAAGTCTCTCATAAGGCAAAGATCTTGAGTTTGAACCCTGGGAGATACGATATAAATTTGTGAAGGGTAAGATGGATTAGGCCTTCCGAGAGTAGACAGTATGTAAGAGGATGGGACTTTACTAATCAACATGCATTTTTGTAATGGCGATGTACAGTCATTCTCTTCCTTATTGTTTGCTTTGGGAGAGCTTAATCTCATTTTACCTTTCACGGCTTTCTATTGTATCCTCAAAAATCGAACCCATAATATTTCCTTCAACAATAGAGCTGGGCATGGTCCGATTTGTTTTAGTTCTCTTTAAAATCGAACCGAATGAAATTTTTTTTTGGGTATTTAGTAAGTGAAATCGTCGGATCTAATATAATTATGAAACCGTTCGAGTTCGATTCAGTTCCATACCATAATTACATTTTAAATATTTATAACAACACTACATAAATACAGCTAATAACATATTCAATCATAGCTTTTACAAATTAAAAA